GCGGGTTTGCTGGCGGGGGCAGCATCGCGAGGCGCGCGGGGCAGCGGGCGACGGCGCGGGGCATCGGGCAGCGCGGGTGAGAGCAGCGGGCAAGGGCGGGAATCCAAATTTTTTTTTAAAATAAACGGATTTTCGGGTTGTCCCGGGTCAACCCGAACCCGACTCGTTTTTTCAAACGGGTCGAATCTGCGAACCTGAACCCGACCCGTTTTTCAAACTGGTCGGGTCCAACCCAGATTTTATGGGTCGGGTTCGGGACGGGTTTTCGTATTGTGTCAAATATTGACACCCCTATGTTTTGTGTTCTATAATGGTTCAAAATTTATATTATTTCTTTATTAGTCTAATTTCATGCTGATTTCATATAACATCTTAAAAATTTGTTGCTTTGTTACAATTTTTTTATAATGTCTTTATTGTTATCTTCTGCACTTGTAATGGCATGTTATTGTTGTTTTATTCAAATAATCCAAGTTTATCTAATTATGTTGTCATGTTTTTTCCTTTAATGTTATCATTATTATTATGCGAGCTTTAAGAAAATGCCTTCAGCTATCAGTGTGAAGTCTTTCGAGATAGGAGTTCAATATATATTTTTCATGGTATCATATATGAAGAACCTATGGAAACAAGAGCTTATGACCAGTCATTATCATGTTTTAATCCTAAGATAAAATGTTGCATTGCCTTAAATTTTGCTGGGTTACAACCTACTAAAACAATTAATTTTATATGTGATGGTGATGAATATTCACTCCTTTAGGTTGGTTGTTTTGTAAAGAAGACTTATCTCTCAAATTTAGCATCCCTTCATATAGAAATAACATCATTTTAAAAGGTGATATTCAGTTGAAACATGATTCAACTAAATTTGTCCTTTAGATACATGATCCATAATAAAATAATGCCTTATGTCTATATGTTTGTGAAGAAACAGAGAAAGGGAAAGTGTAGAAGAACAAGAACAAGAAGTAAAGCAGAAGAATGATGTATTTCATCTCTCATACAGTGAAGGTACAACCTATTATATAGACAGGAAAAACTCTAAGAGCCAATGAGCTCTTGCCACCTCAGCAATAGGAAATAATACAAATATTTATTTATTGTTGTTTACACTTTAACATTCCCCCACAAGCTAATGGGTCGTCTGAGACCGTTAGCTTCTTTCTTAATTTGATGAATCTTGGAGTGGACAGAGCCTTAGTGAAGATGTCCGCCATTTGATCAATGGTGCTGATTGGTAGTATGAGAACATTGTTTTGTTGGAGATGTTCCCGGATATACTTTTGATCAATTTCGATATGTTTTGTCCTGGCGTGGAATACGGGATTATTCGCCAGAGCAATTGCAGATGTGTTGTCACAGAATATCTCCGTGGTTTCATCTTTGGAAATGCCGACTTCTGATAGAAGTCTCCGTAGCCAAATAATATCTGTCGTGAGTGAAAAACAAGCGCTCTGTATTCTGATTTTGTGGAGGAACGAGCAACCGTGTGTTGCTTCTTGACCGTCCATGAGATGAGTGTGTCGCCTGTTGCAAATTCGGTTTCATGGATTATGTTTTGATGATTAGCAAACACTCTTGCTTCTTTTTGACTACCTTTTACTACTGACATTTTTAGGATTCAAAGATCGGACGGAAATCGAAACCAGCTCAAGACTGGGTAGATTAGGGTTGAGTCAGTCTGTAGTTTTATTTTTTCCCTTTCTTGAGTCAATTGTAAATGTTTGAAGTGGCTGATGTTAAGTAACCCTACACACACACACACACACTTGAGAGATTTAAAATTTCTATTTTTACTCAAATCATTCCAGACGATATTTATATCGGCCTGGACGATTGAGTTCAAAACAGAAGTTCTAATTAGGATTTCTTAATTAAGGCAGCCGTAATTAACTCATTATCCTGGACGATACATTTATCGGACAGGACGATATGCTCAAAACAAAAAGAAATAGCCGCCATGATCAATTTAAGTATTCTGTATTTTTGGAAATTGGTCAGGACGATCGTGAGATCGGCCTTGATGATATGACACAATTATGCCTAAATTGATCCGGCAATGAAGAAAGCAATTAAGGATGATTGATACAATCACATCATCCTGGACGATCGCAGGATCGGCCGGGACGATATACTCAAAAATTCTTAGTTGCACCTGGACGATACATATCGGCCTGCACAAATTTAGGGTAATGTTCTGGCCGATTATGATCGGACAGCTCGAATTCAGGGCAATGATCTGGACGATTTTCCTCTGATTTGAACTAATTATCTGGGACGATCGTGAGATCAGCCGGGACGATCAAGCCAATTTTCAATCGTCCAGTTCATTTTCAGAGCGGTGTTCTGGCCAATCATCTGTGTTTTGAACTGATCGTACAGGACGATATTATTATCGTCCTAGACGATAAAGTCAGCAACTTGCATTTATTGAGCTCCTTTGAAGCTCTTCTATTTAAGAGCTATTGTTCAACGTTTTTGAACATCATTGGCAGCTGTCTTAACCTGAGAAAACCTAAATGAGAGAGAGAGAGAGGATCTTGTGAGGGAGTTCACAAGGGTTGCTCCAAGCATTGTTCCACTTCTTCTTCCCTATATTCTCTTGTCCTTGGAAGGG